TGTGTGTGTGTGTGTGTGTGTGTGTGTGTGTGTGTGTGTGTATCATGAACGTGTCATGGCATTCGTGTAGAGGGCAGAGGATAACTTGTGTGAGCTGGTTCTCTTCTTCCACCCATGTGGGTTCCAGGGATTAAACTTGAGTCATCAGGCTTGGTGGCAGGCTTTACCTGCTGAACCATCTTGCCAGACCAGAGGATTTTATGAAAAAGGAAACAGGGCTAGGGATGCATCTCAGCGGTAGACAGCTTGCTTAGCTTGTGTAAGGCCCTAGATCCGATCTCTAGTCTGACATAGAAGCAGAATAAAAACAAAACATCTTATGGCAACAAATTAATAGTTCTTAGAATGCGGCACTATACTGAAGCAAAATTAAAATCCCTGAAGAGAAAACAGGAGACCCTCTAGCAGCAAGGCTGAAGGCCCCACGGGTCTGTCTCCAAACCCTTTGTTCTGCCACAGCAGTAATTCCTGAAGCCCTCAGGAGCTAAAAAGCCAGCGTGCACCACTGAACATGTAAGATACTCTTCTCACTGAGCTGCTCCTGAAGCCCTCATGAGAGCAATGCACAGCTGGGTGGGAGGAGAAAGCACAGCAAATGGGGGCTAGCTGTCATCAGAATTCTGGATGTGTATATGGGGACAGGGACCCCAGGAAACAGGCATCTTGCTTAGGCTGCATCTTTCTGTCAATTCAACAAGAGCTGAATACCTGATTTTTATTTTAGTGCGTGCTAAGGTAAGAATTAGACTTTGGCGTTCTTTACATACCCATGAATGACTGTGTGGCTTTATTTTCTGCACTTTCCCTGCTCACCAAGGCTCTCCTGGAAGCCATCTTTGCTCCTGCTCTCTCTCTTGAAGCCTGTTCCACTGTTGCCTCTTACTGGCTCCACTGCCTAAAGGCACACATTCACATCTCCTGCTTTCCAAATCCAAACATTCCCTTCTACAGCGACAGGCGCAATTTTATTTATTTATTTATTTATTTATTTATTTATTTATTTAATTTATTTATTTATATATTTCTTATTTTTACTTTATGTGTATGAGTGTATTGTCTGCATGTGTGTAAGTGCACCCATGTCATGCAATGCCCACAGAGGCCAGAAGAGGGTGTTGGATCCCCTGGAATTGGAGTTGTTAGTGGGTGCTGGGATTTGAACCTGGGTCCTCTGCAAGAGCAGCCAGTGCTCTCAATCACTGAGCCATCTCTCTAGCCCTGATGGGCGAAATTGTAATACCAATGTCTCCCAAATCTCCATTTCTCAACTCAACGTCTGTCCTAAGTTCCCCACTCACAATTCTGTTACACAGCCCTACATGGACTGGTTGCTGGCTGATCACACTTAATGACTTTAAAACTAATTCTCTTTCTTCTCTTTGTTAATGGCATTGAGCCCTGTCAGCTCCCAGGGCAGAGAGCTGAAGTCTTCATCAGCACATTTTCCCTCAATCCTCACATCAACTTGATGTCCAAGATTTGCCAATTTTCTTTGCCAGTGTCTCTTGAGCATCCAGCGCTCTGTCTTTATTACTAGTTCCCTCATTCAAATGCTCACTCCCTTTCATCTGAATGATTCCAACATCACACACAAGCCCTCTCCCTCAGTCTTCATCAATCCAAACCACTTTGCAATTGGATCAATGTTGATTTTTCCTGAAAAATCAACGGCACTTGCTATTAGTTTCACTTATAAAGTGAACAAAAACAAATGTCTGCTTTCCGTGGACTTAGGGATAAAACCCAAGCTGAGCACTGGAAGTCTGTGGTGATGGGACCATTTCTTCATCTCCTTTTTCTCACTCCCTCACATAGTCCTCCTCATTCTTCTGACTCTGGCTCCCTCTCCTCTTGCTTGAACTTCTCACTGCCTGTCTAAGCTTACCACTGTCTAGGACTAGCTCAGGAGCTGTGCCGATGGAGTTCCTCCTCCCCACACAGGGTCTCACCAGCACCTTGTTTGTTTCCAGCGACAGTCAGTCTCACGTGCATGGTTTTATGAGCCTTCTTTGAGTGCACGCTCCATAAGGCCATGGTTCAAAGCTTTCTCAGTCTGTGCCCTTATGACCTAACCACATGGATGTGGATGGTGCCGAGGAAACAAGTCCTAGCAACGTGGAATCTCTCTCCTCACAAAATGTAGGAAAGACACTTTATTGATGAATGAGCACAACACTGTGGGTAACCGATGACAGTGTGAAGCCCATCTTAGGATCACAGCCAAGCACACACACCACTGCCTACCCCTTTCAAAGAGAAGGCTGACCTGCCTGTGAGAGGCACTCACAGCACTGCTGTGGGTGTCACGGTTCACCCGAGATTCACCTGCTAGTGAGGGAGCTATCTGTCTCAGCAAATTGCTTTCATGTGGATATTCAATCTTCTTTTCTCTCTCTGAGAAGCACATGGCTACATCTTGGAGAGTTCTCATTACAAGCTCCCCCCTGGACAGAGATAGGAGAGCATTCAGTTCAAAGGGCTGGTTCCCCAGCCTTCGAAATAAAGTACTTCTGAAAGTAAAGCCAACAAGGGACTGTTTAGTCTCTAAAGAATTTTCCTTTTTACACAATGGCAAACAAATGTAATAAAACATCGTGAAACATAACAAAAGGTTTTGGCCAAGGGACAGTTCATGTTTTAAACATGCTTAACCTTGGGTTTGTTGCTTGGTCCTCCATCCTATTCTACTGAGCCACAGGTCTGTTTTTGTTGCTTTGACTACATGGTATAACTTGGAATCAAGTGAAACCTCCAGCACTGCTCTTTTTGCTTTGACTATTTGGGATCTTTTGTGCCTCCACACAAAGTTTAGAATTCTTTTTTCTTTTTCAAGACAAAGTCTTACCATGAAACCCAAGCTGGCCTGGTCCTTGCTGTGCATACCTGGTTGGCCTCAGACTCATGGAAATCCCCCTGCCTCTGCCTCCCGAAAGCTGGGATTAAAGAACATCATCAACATGCCCAGCCCTACTTTATCTATTTTTGTGAAGAATGAAGAAAGTGTAGCATACATACACAATGAATGGAATTGAAAAAACAAAACAAAACAAAATAAAAACAGGGTTTCATATAGCCTAGGTGGCTTCAAACTAGGTACTCAAGGGTGACCTTGGAATTCTATCCTCTTGCTTTCACCTCCCTAGTGCCGGATTTAGAGGTGTGTCATCTGTAGTTTCTGTAGTTCTGGGGACTGACCCAGGGCTTAGTGCATGCTACGCAAACATGCTACCAGTGGAGCTACAACCCTGCCCCACAATGGACTTTCATTCAGCCAGAAAGAATGAAGTTATGTTGTTTCCAGGAAAATGGGTGCAGTTGGAGAGCATCACATTAAGCAAAAGAAGTCAGATCAGAAAGACAATCATGGCATGAAAGTAAAAGCGAGGCTGGGAGAAAGAGGGGACTAGAGGGAGGAGGGGGAGCATGGTGAGAGTGTTCAATGTGCCAGCACATAAACGTCTTTATGAAACCATCACCACATACAATGAATACACACCTATATGGTTTTTCTTCTAACATTTACAAACAGATACATTCTTCAATAACTATTTGTTGAAGTTATGAGTTCAATTTAGATTAAAGCACTTCAATTTTTAGCATACGGATATACCCATGTATAAATTCTGCCCCATTTATCTTCTGCTCACAGTTTTACAACTTTAGTCAGGTGTGGTGGTATGAACTCTAATACTAGCCATAGAGACATAAAGCAAATCCAAGGCTGGCCTAAGCTACAGGAGGAGACCCTATCATGACCAGTGAAGGATGTAGCTAAGTGGTAGGCACTTGCATAGCATGTTCAAGGTTCTGTGATCCAGAATCCCATACTCACACACAAAATAATATCGTTTCCCATATAATCCTATTAAGAACTTGAAGTGAGGCTGACACCGTTAGGGGAAAACTCCTACATGAACTCACTTTTAGTGTCTTTTCCTTTTTTTCCAGTTAAAACTCTGACAAAAGCTGAGTGTACAGAGAGGCATTCCTGTCTACTACATTTATGATGAACGTTGAGCACGCTCCCGAGTGCTCCCAGAGTGCTCCCATTGCCACTTCACCTTTTGAACATGTAGACTACAACCTTGGGCTCAGCGTGTCCAAAAGTGTGAATACCGTTCTTCCTTCTTGAACGAGGACCTTAAAACGAGCTTATTCGATAGTTTTTAGCTGAGCATGCTCAGTAATGTGCCCACCCCTAATGTGCTGTCTTACATGAATATGTAGTCCTCCAAGTAAAATGCCTATATTTCTTTAATCACGGAGGGCACTGCTCTGTAGTAACTCTTCTGTTCTCCTTGGTGCTGCAGGCAATAAATATTTCTCTATTGAACGAGGACCTTAAAACGAGCTTATTCGATAGTTTTTAGCTGAGCATGCTCAGTAATGTGCCCACCCCTAATGTGCTGTCTTACATGAATATGTAGTCCTCCAAGTAAAATGCCTATATTTCTTTAATCACGGAGGGCACTGCTCTGTAGTAACTCTTCTGTTCTCCTTGGTGCTGCAGGCAATAAATATTTCTCTGTTTATTTTGGGGGGCCGTGCTTATTCAGGCTTTTGAATTTATCAGAATGTGAGCACTGTGTTTACTTTTGGTCTTTTGGCCATTATGTTAACTAATTTTAATTAATAGTGACAACAGTAACACAGCATTGCATTATACCACAAAGTGCTCTAAAGTTATATTACTTATTCTAAGTCAATGGAATAAGTTCACCTTTTACTTAATCATGAAGCGAGGATAACTAAGAGGTGGTGGTTGTTGTTTTTCCCTTCAGAACCTGATGTTTTAATTAAATTGGCCAGAGCCAAAAAATTCCACCAAGCCTCTTTTGAATTATAATCTTTCTTGCTAATAATTAGATGCCAGGCCTCCAAAGAAGATAAGAAATAAGTTTCTAAGCTCTATCACATGAGGGAAAGGAATTTCTCTGTTAATTACTTTTTATTAGTACTAGGAATCTAAGCAGTCCAAGACCAAAAATGTCTAGGAAAATTTAGAATATAATTAACAAAAAGCAGCAGGTAGCAAATACTTCTGAATAAAAAAATAGCCTAGTGCCTCAACCAGTTTATACTTATGAAGTTATTTGTCATTATAATGATCTGACCTCTCATTTAGTACAATTAAGAAACATTAGCAGGGCATGGTAACATACACCTTTAGAAGCTGGCATATCGCTGTGAGATCCAGGCCAGTCTTGTCTACATAGTGAGTTTCAGGCTAGTTGGTGCTACAGGGAGACCCTGTCTCAAACAACCACCACCATCACCACCACCACCACCACCACCACCACCAAACCAAAAAAGAAATGGACAAATCTTACAGAATCTATATTTGCAAATGTGGTTATAACAGAACAGCATCTACGGTAACTACAGATCTAATTCCTCAAAGGAAAAACCATAATTGCACCAGCAGAGTTTCCTCAAGCAACATTTTTCTCTCAGAGAAGAGTCAGCAATGTTGGATGAGCCCAGCCTTGATATGTGAACCAATTCAGTCACCCATCTTTTGTTCCCTTGAATAGGATGATCCATAACCATCTCTACCTTATTTTAAGCAACCCAAACATCAACTCTTCCTAAAGTATCATTTTAATGGTTTCTGCATGTGTGACTCTGGGTTTGGAACGCTCTACTAGAGCCAGGTGGGCTCATCAATGGGTCCACAACTGATGGCAATGATCCCCCCTCTCTGAGACTCTATCAGTAGCCAATAGTTCAACAGGAAGAGCAGCACATCTCTGGACATAGGAAGCACAGCCTTGAGGTTGGCCTCTGCTTAGAGTTCAGCTAGGCCTGCACTGCTTAGCTTTAACACAGTGCTGGAACAGCATGGGGCTTTTCTAAATGGGTCACCTTGCATTGATTTCTGCACAAGGGGAACCTCAATAACAAGTGCTGACTGACTGGGTAAAAACTGCCCTGTCCTTTAACGAGAAGCTGAAGCAAGGAGGGCATAAACACATAGGAGCAAGGCATGGCTACACAAAGTCCCAGGCAAAGCAAATGTAAAGCATGATACAGAACAGGTGTATAAAAACATATGCACTGTCCTGCGAATGTCATCATTTTGACATCACAAGTGGGCTGTTAAAGGAGCTGCAAGGCCCAACAAACTGCATGGCTGAAAGTAGTCAGCACTACTAAGTACAACAGCCATGTAGTCTGAAGGACAGAGGTACAGCACTAGCCCATGCCCCACCATCAGCACTGTCCCACCTGCTCTTGGCCCAATGGCTGTCCCTGACCACCTTTTGCCAGGGAGGCAGGCATTCAGCGACCCAGGGCCTAACTCTGTTGGGCTCCTAGGCATGGCCAGCAGCATTTCATAGGAGATGTAACTTCAGACAGCAAATACCCTTTGGCTTTACACATGTGCATCTTACTCAGCATCATTTGAATTTTTCACAAACTCAAGCCTCTCCTCAAAGGTCAGCTTGTAAGAGAGACCTTGCTGCCATTCCAGCTACTGTGGCGCACACCAATCTCCTCAGCCATCGCTTTCTTTTTAGCAGAAGCATTCCAGTTTCTAGTGTAACATAGCCCCTTGTCCCATTCTGCTTTTCTCTTTAGTACTTACAGTCACTTGAAAACCATGAGTGTACTGTCTATCATCTGTTCTCAGAAAGCAGAACATGTTGGCCTCAGAGCTGGACTTGGCTGCCACTGTATGTCTAGAATATTAGCAGGTAAATATTTGCTGTCTGAATGGATGTCTGTTACCTCCCTCCCACTGCTTCACTCAGTAGTTCACTCAGCACTTGTGGAAAACAGGGAATCCACTTTGTGTGCATGTGTGTACGCATGCATGCATGCGTATGTGTGTGTGTGGTATGGAGATCAGAACAACGCCCTGGGTGTTGTTCCTTGCCTTCCACCTTGTTTGAGACAGGGTCTCTCTCAATGTGAACAGAAATCCCATGACATTAACTCTATAAACACTGTTTCATAGTAAATAGTTCTTTTCCCAGTCAAAAATATTAAGAGTTTATCATTTAGTTGAACTTACAACCTTGAGAATTTAAATGCTTGCCTTTTGTGTCACATTTTGGCACTGTCAAAGCCCTTGCTTGCCTGTGAGCTTCCAGTAAGTCTCCCATCTCCCTGTAGGGACACATAAGGATTATAGATGCATGTGCTACTGCGCCTGGGTTTTATGTAGATTCTGGGGCTCCAAACTCAGGTTGTCAGGCTTGTACAGCAAGTGCTTTACCCACTGAGCCACCTTCCTAGCTCTCTTTCCCAGCTACCTATATCTTCTTTAGCCTCCTTCCAGATTCTGTTCCTATGAAACCCTGGCAGTTTTTTAAGCAAAGTTTTACTTATATGATCAGATAGTTCTTTCAAATATGAGTGTCAGTTGCCTTTTCTTTATAATGTTGAGTGTTTAAACCCTGGCCTTGTGCATGTCAGACAGATGCCCTACTATTGAACTATACTACCAGCCAGCTAATATTAAAAAAAAAAATTCTTTAATTCTTAGGGAAGGACCATTTCTTCTATTTCTTTGCTGTAAACGTATTTTGAGCAAATCAAGTTCAACAGTGGAGTTGTAAACACTGGCTCACTAGAGTGCTCTGGGAATGGGACCTGGCAATGAAATGTAGTTGACAGTGTTCTTTAGGAAAATATGTTACAACTCTGGGAGAGAAATGCTTCCCCTAACATAGAAGTCCCATAGCATCTCAGCTCTATAAATATTGAATCACAGCAAACAGCTGTTTTCCTACTCAAAAATACTGAGTTTATCATTTCCCAAACTTATAACCATGAAAGGATTTAAACATTTATGTTCTATGTGTCCTATTTCCATTCTGTCACTTCTCTGAATCTCATTTAGGGGTGCAGGAGAGACACAGGATTCTGTTGCAAGGTACACTGAGCCACTTCCAGGTGTCACACTGAGCCTTCCCCAAAAGTCACTTCTCTAGCCACTTCACTCTGTCTGGTTTCTTCTCATCTCTAAAATATGCCCAAGAGAGAGAGCCATGGTCTGCCCAAATCAGCATAGATCTGGTTTTCTTCCGTAGTGAAACAGTCCACCTTCAACTTAACCATGCACTTATTTATGATGCCTCTTTCAAAAAGCATTTGAGGCAGGATGCTCACATTATTTTGCTACAAAGTACAGTCAGAACATAAAACATATCCCTCAAATTAAAGGATGCTTTAATTATTCTTTTACTTCTCTATAATAATAGATATTGTTTGCTAATAACATATTAACTTATGAGGACTTAAAGAAATTCGGTCTTACCTTTAAAGATTGTCTCTTTGTCACATAATTCTCAGACTGCAGCAGTTTCTCATAGTCTTCAAAGATCTAATAAAAGAAAGTAAGACTGTAAAGGCAGCAGTGTGCCCTCTACACCAAGTGCCCTCTACACCATGTGCCTTCTACATGGTGCCCTGGCTCTTTTTAAAAGAGGGTCCCTCCTTTCACCCTTGTGTCCTCGGATCCACTGATCCGCACTGCTCACAGGGAGGCATAGGTATCTCGCTGTCTTCTACACAGGCAAGATCAGGACAGGGAGGTAAAGGGATGTAGAATACATGCTGCTCAATTTTATTTAGCTCTGCAAGTTAGAAATGAATGGAAAGATGGAATAATCGTTGAGTCCTTCCAATAAGTCATTCTGATAAAACATTAAAAGCTGCAAGATGACTCATTTTAAAGAAATCTGCTTCTGTAGCTGGTAGCTGTAGGTTTACAATGTGGGAAAAAAATAAATATACTTAAGGCTCTGGACTGTCACACCCATAATGTGAACAGATGAGGCTGGATGGAGGTGACCACTGCTGCATGGTGGCCACGCTAACCCAAACTGGTCTTGGTAAAGCTTACCCACTCTCACCAGGAGTCACAGGACTGGGAGTGGGTCCTCCTGTGATGAGTAATGTGGGCTATAGTCATGGCCGAGGCCCTTCAGTGGCAGAGAGCACAGCAGCTAGGAAAGCTTGGCATCTACTTTTCACCATGTGTGGGCATATCACTCTGAGAGCAGTGGGAGGAGCAAGCATCTGGGAAGAAAGCAAGAAAGCCCAGGAACTGAGGGTGGAAACCAGTTAGCTTCAAGAGAGCTGGCGGGGTGGGGGGAGAAGGTGTCTGTGCACACCTATCAAAATCAGTGATTCGGGGGTTGGACAGATGGCTCAGAAGTTGAGAGCGCTGGCTGCTGTTCCAGAGGACCCAGGGCAGCTAACAACTGTCCCTAACTCCAATTCCAAGGGATCTGACATCCTCTTCTGGCCTCTGCAGGCAGTGCATGACACAAGTGCACTTACATACATGCAGGCAATACACTGATACATGTAAAAATAAAATAATAAAATATTTAAAAAATATTTCAGATTAAGAAAACAAAAAGGCCCAGCATGCAGCTCATATTAAAGCCACAATGTTATACTCTTTCATAGGACATTTGTTCCTCTGTCAAACACAAGGAGAACACTACAGTTTAGCTGCGTAGGCCCTTCCCCCAAACTCATATGTTGAAAACCTGGTCCCCAGCTGGTGGTGCCACTGAAAAGTGATTGGATCTTAAGGCTTCTAACTTTATCAATGGACTGATCCCTTGAATTTATAGCTGAATGGATCTTTAGGAGGGGGGCGGGAAATAGGTCCCTAAGGGGCATGCTTTTTTTTGGGTCTTTTTGAGACAGGGTCTCCCTGTAGCCCCAGCTGGAAATCACTATGTAGACCAGGCTGGCCTTGAACTCACAGAGATCCGCCTGTGTCTGATTCCCAAGTGTTGGGATTAAAGGCATGAGCCACCATGCCTGGCTTGAGGCATGCTTTTTTTTCCCCCCATATGTACATATGTATGTGTGTGTGTGTGTGTGTGTGTGTATGTCTTCCTTGATTGTTCTCCATTATATAGCTAGGAGGATCTCTCATTGAACCCAGAGTTTACCAGTTCAGCTAGTCTGCCTAGCCTGCTTGCTCTGAGGATTATCTGCCTCTGCCTCCAGTATAATAGGGTGACTGGGAGGAAAGGGGGGTGGGTACCATGCCCACCTAGCTTTTTATGTGGGTTCTGGGGATCCAAATTCTAGTCTTCCCATTTTCCCTGCTGAGCCACCTCCCCAGCCTCAGGGGCATGCTTTTAAAAAACTATTAATTTTTATTTTATGTGTATGAATGCTCTGCATGTATGTAAGTGAACCCATGTGTGCAATGCATGCAGAGGCTAAAGGAGGGTGTCAGATCCCCTGGAACTGGAGTTACAGATGGCTGCTAGCCACTATGTGGGTGCTGAGAGCCAATCCCAGGTTCTCTGCAAGAGCAGCCAGTGCTCTTTTTTTTTTTTTTTAATTTTTACAAAAACTTTGAGAATTTCATACGTATATATAAGGTGTTTTGACCTAATCCATGCCCACTCCCTCCCCTCCAACATTCCCCCAATTGAAGAGGTAACCCTAAAATCTTTTAAGGATTAGATACAAGCTCCCAAATACTTTTGACATTTTTGGCCTTTGGAACAGAGTATATGCAGCCAGTGCTCTTGCCCCTCTTAACCGCTGAGTCATCTCTCTAGTTCCAGGGGCATGCTTTAAAGGGTGCATTTTGTCTCTGAACACTTGCTCTCTATCTGACTCCTTGCTGCCATGGGGTGAGCATCTTTCCCTTGCCACACCCTTCCATATGACACTGCTCTACCATAGGCCTAGAAACAGAGTCAAGTAATCATGGACTGAAACATTATACTAAAATAAATCTTTCCTCATTTAGGTTATTTCTCTTATGTATTTTAATCATAGAAACAAGAAGGTGACTAACACAGGAAAATATTGTTGATCAATAAATTTATCAGCCAAATAAATTATAATTGTCAATCATAATATACAAATATATGTGAAAGATAAATGACTAAAGCTACCTGTCTCACTGTTTTCTTTTTTCTTGACTTTAAAAAAGATATATATATATATATATTCTTTAAATTTTATATGTATGAGTGTTTTATCTGCCTGTATTTAAATGCACCCATGAGTGCAATGCCCATGGACGCTAGAAGGCATTGGATCCCCGGGAATTGGAGTACAGTAGACATCATGTTAGACACCATGTGGGTGCTGGGAACTGAACCCAGGTCCTCTGCAAGAACAGCCAGTGCTCTTAACTGCTGAGCCATCTCTTTAGCCCCTCTTATTAACTTTTAAAGTTAGTAGACAAAGTAATGGATTTCATTAGGCATTTTCATGCACTTGTGTCATTATCCTGTTGTGCTGGACAGCTTTAGTGTCAACTTGACACACCTGGGTTGAGGGAGCCTTAATTGGGGAATTGCCTTCATTGGACTGGCCTGTGGCCATGTCCATGGGGCACCTGCTTGATTGTTGAGTGATGTGGAAGGGCCCAGCCCACTGTGGGTGGTGCCATCCCTGTGCAGGTGGCCTGTGTTGCATAAGAAAGCAGGCTGAGCAGAGGCCAGGGGAGCAAGCCAGTAAGCAATGTTCCTCCATGGCCTGTGCTCCAGCTCCTGCCTCCAGGTTCCTGCCCTGAGTTCCTACCTTGGGCTCCCTGATGAACTGTGACCTGGGAGATGTAAGAGAAATAAACTCTTTCCTCCCCAAGTTGGTAGTGGTCAGAGTGTTTTGTCATAGCAATGGAGAAAAAAACTAGGACACCTGTGTTCTAATCGATCCCCCTTTTCCACCTCTCATTATTTTAGAGTTATACATGGTGCGCTCCATTTCCTCATGGTCAAATGATAAAGAATTGTGAAGCTAGTTTGGCCTGGTGGTACACACTTGTATTCCCAGGGCTTGAGAGGTGGAGGCAGGAAGATCACCAACTCAAGGCCAGCCTGGGAGGGCGGGGTGAGCACCTCCTCAGTGATTCACCAAGAATGGAGATGGTGGAACTGGAAGCAGTGATTAATACACATTCACATCAGCCTGTTCAGTTTGGGCTTTCCAGTCAGCTAGGAGATACCTTCCTGTACTGCCCCTTGCTGCTGCAACATCGGGGCTCCCCAAAGCTTCTCCTAAAATGGGTCTTTTCTTGCCTACTTGTGATTTTATCTTGAGTAAGGCTGGCTGAGCTAACGACATGAAGAGGAGTGATGGCAGAGTGACAGCAGCAACAGCAAGAGGATGGGGATACAATGAAGGATGCAGAAGCACAGAAAGGAGGGAGGGGAGAGGAAGAGACACACAGAGGGAATAGCCCCAGTTGTGGAGAAATTCCTGGGAGCTGCCAAGCCTTTGATGCTGAGTGCCAACACTCAAGGCTGAGACGCCGACTGGCGGGTGCCAACTGCTGCTACTGCTGCTGATGTGCTGCTGGGAGCCAAGGACTTCAGTAGCTTCCAAGTGCAGGCTACGGGCAATCTGAACCGAGAGCATAAGCCTCTAACCCGAGCATCTAGAATTGGAAGTCTGGCTTCTAAGGTCCTAAGTCTTCATTCCCAGGTCTCGGAGCCTGAGACTGCCTGCTCAGTCCATAAGCCTTTAGCACTTGCATCCAGGACCAACAACACCAGAAGAACCACTTGTAGTTTCCATCCATGTCGAACAAAAGGATCCCAGTGAGTTCACTAGTAATAGAGGAAGATAGAAGTCTTGAAAATGATTTACTTACAGTGTCATAGTTTTGTTCTAAGAAGTCCGCTACCAACACTTTATGTCTGGTTAATAAATCCTAGAAAGAGAACAAGCAGTAAAGTTATTATAGCCAGTAAATTTTATAATTAATTAAAATTTAAAGTCAATCTTTTGATTCTATGGTTTGATATATCCAATAATTTCAAACACATAAAAGTTGAAAAAGAACATTTTCATTTTTACCACAAAATTATTTCCATTCCTATTTAAGATGTGAAATGCAAGCTTGTTTCAGGTTAAAATTAAATGTACATTGATGGATTTAAATAGCAGAAATAACAAATGGTAGAATGCAACATCTAAGGAATAAGTTTACAGAATCTATCAACCTCTTCCCCTCCAGGCTCGTCTCTAATCCCTCAGCTCAAGTGAGCCTCTGCCTCTGCCTGACCATAGGGAATACAGGTATATGCCACCGTGCCTAGTTCTAACCATTTTCTAAAACCTCACCTCACAAACTGATTGAAGAGATTTTCAAGCATTTTAATCTTTGTTTTCCTAACCGCTGTTCTAATATGTGTATGTGGTGTATGTACATGTGTGTGAGTGCATATGCCCAGGTGTGTACACATGGAGGCCAGAGGAAGATGTTGGGTCCTGCATATCTTTTTCTACCTTATTACCTTGAGACAGGCTCTTTCACTGAATCTAGAGCTTGGCTGGTGGCCAGCAAGCCCCAGAGATCCTCCTGTCTGACTCCACCAGCACTGGGGTTACAGGTGGGTGCATGGCTACACCCAGTTTGTTATGTGAGTAATGGATATTTGAACTCAGGTCCTCATGTTTACACAGTAAGCACTCAAATGCTGAAGCATCTCCCCAGCTCCCTAATCACTTCATTTATTTATTATTTATTTTTAAATTGCATTATTATTACTGTGTATGTGTATGTATAATGGGGGTGGGGAAGCATGTCATGGTGCACATGTGGAGGTCAGAGGACACCTCTGTGGAGTCGATTCTCTTCTTCCACCTTTAAGTGGGTGCCAAGGATTGAACTCACATTGTCTGGCTGGTGCAGCAAGAGCTACACCCATTGAGCCATCTCCCCCAACCCCATAAACACACTTCTAAATGTAGGTGGTTGGTCCATGGAAGCACAAGAATGACATTCACTAGTGGCATCTTAGTACTGTCCTGCTCTCAGGTAAAGGGGCCATGAGATACGCTGCAAGCTACTAAGTAACAATGCATCCTTTCAGAGTTGAAGTGATCAGTCCTATCTGATTAGAGATAGAAACTTGCAGAAAACTGTACAAAGCAGGAAGGAACTTCTGGCTGTCTTAAATGTCTTAAATTCACATCTAAATCGTATTCTTGTTTCACCTCAATGTTGCAAAAAATAAAAATAAAGGATAAGCCCCACCTAATCCCTTTAATATACTTAGAGGCTAAATGCCCTACTCAAGTATTATGTAGAATTTAATTAAAAATAAGAATTTTTAAGTTATCCAAAATGAAGTCAAATACTTTAATACCCATTTAATTAAAATTGCTGCTAAATACATAATAACATCACAAAGAAAGGGCAGGCAGCAGCCTTGTAAAAACCTACCCATTTATTCTTTAAACTTTTGTTTTTGGATTGCATATGTGGTGTGGGGGGGTATGTGCACGTGTGCGCACGCGCATGCCACGTAAGTGCAGTTGCTCACAGAGGTCAGAAGCAGGCATCAGATCTTCTGGAGCTTGAGCTACAGATGGCTGTGAGTCACCCCACTTGGGTGCTGGGAACTGAACTCAGGTCCTCTAGAAGAGGAGCATGTGCTCGTAACCACTGAGCTATCTCTCCAGGTCCCTATTTCCAAGTTTTTTTGTTGTTGTTGTTTTTTGTTTTGGCACATGGTCTCCCTATAGCCCCAGCTGGCCTGGAACTCACTATGTAGACCAAGCAGTCTCGATCTCACAGAGATCCACCTGCTTTCCAAGTGCTGGAATTAATGGCATGCACAACCATGCCCAGCTTTCCTTCTATTTTAATAACAAGAAAAAATAAATTATTCAAAGCATTTTGGACTAGCTTTTTAATAGTCTGTCTTTAAAACTGGGAATACATTTATTGAATACAAGATGATGTTCTGAGGTATTGTGGAAAGAACACTGTTGGAGGATTTACTATAGTTTGTATCTTAAATGTTCCCCAAAGTTGTGGCACTACCAGCCTGTGGAGCTACTGGGAGGTGGTATACTCTTTTTCCCTTGAAATGAAGTCTTACTATGTGGCTCAGGCTGGTATTGAACTCCTGGGCTGAAGTGACTCTTGGAGAGGTTGGGGCTTTAAGTGTACACATATGAAGCACAGGTGGTAGAACCTATGTGTATTAGTTGATTTTCTGTTGTTGTGATAGAAACACCATGACCAAGGGAACTTACAAAAGGAAGAATTCATTTGAGCTTATGGTTCCAAATGGGCAAGAGTCCACCATGGCAGAGAGGAATGGTGGCAGAGGTGGCTGGAGAAGGAGCAGAAGCTAAGCTCTCACATCTTCAAGCAGGCATAGGAAGCAAAAGAGCGACACGAGATCCGGCAAGGCCTAAGGACTCTCTAAGGGGCCCCTAGTGATGTGCTTCCTCCAGTATGGCCATACCTTCTAAGACCTCCTAAAACAGTGTCACCAACTGGGGACAAAATGTTCAAATATTTGGAGCCTAGTGGGGAATATTCTCATTCAAACTACCATACTATGAAAGGGTTTAATTGGAGGAAGTAAGACCCTTGAAGGGAACATAAGAATCCAGCTCTCCTCTCTCTCTGCTTCCAGGCCTCCATTAAAGTGAGCAGTACCGCTTCCCCACATGCTCCCCACCAGGAGGTCCTGCCTTGCCACAGGCCCCAAGCACCAGAGTCAGCTGACCCTGTTATGAAACTGTGAGTCAAAATAAAATTGAGGTTGTTCATCTCAGGTGCTTGGTTATGGACAGCTATGGAAGGCTAGCATGACTCAATCAGGATATTTTGCATATGCATTACCTAATATATTTATTTCTTTGTGGTGAGAACAGAAATATATTTAATGATTTTCAAAAACAATGTACTGCTATTAGCAAGGGCTAACATGTTCTATAATAAATCTTAACTTATCTTCCACCTGTGAAAATGCTGGTACTCTGTGACCAACATTCCCCATCCTGTCCTTTACCCAAGGACCACTTTGTTCTCTGTTTCTATGTGTTCAATATTTTTAGATTCTATATATAGATGAGACCATGATTTGCCTTCCTGTTCCTGTCTTATTTCACTTACTAAGAAGTCCATGTGGCTCATCCATGTTGTTACAAATGACAGGATTTCTTTTTATGGCTGAGTAGTACTTCATTATATGCACATAACACATTTTATTTTATTTTTGTGCATGTATGGTGTATGTTTACAGTGTATGTAAGTAGGTCCATGCATGGAGGTCAGAGGACAACTTCTGGGGGTGAGTTCTTGCTTTCCACCTTTGTTCTGAGGCAGACCCACTCTTGTTTCTGCTGCTGTGCTGAGTACCCCATGCTATCTGGTCCTCAAGCTTCCAGGTAATTTTCCTGCCTCTGCCTTCTATATTATCATAGAAGTACTGAGATTACCCTCATTTAGCTTTTAATGCAGGTTCTAGGGATTGAAGTCAGATTGTTAGGCTTGTAGGACAAGTGCTTTTACCCACTGAGCCATCGCTTCAGTCCCCTATCACATTTTCTTTATCCATTTAACTGTCAGTGGACTCTTGGGCTAATCCCTGATCTTAGCTATTGTGAACAATGCTGCAATGATTACTCTTCGACACACCCATTTCACTGTCTCTGGAGATATATCTAGTAATAGGATTGCTAAGTAACACAGTAATCCTTTTTGACATTTTTTTGAGGCACCTCCATACTGCTTTCCACAAAGGTGAACTAATTTACATTCATATCCAGTGTGCAATGCTTTATTTTCTCCACATCTTTGTCTTATAGCCCAGGGAAGCCTCAAACTCACTATGTAGTTGAAGCTAAGCGTGATCCTTCTGCCTACACTTCCCAAGTGCTGAGATTACAGGCTTGTGCCACTCAGCAATCTTTCATCTTTCTTATAATACCCTTTCTAGAAGATGAAAGGAGATACCTCACTGTAGTTTTACAATTTTCAAGTTCAAAAATAATGAAATGAGTCCTTAAAGTCTTGCAATGTGACTCACTATAGTGTCTGTCTTTGGAAATGTGGTATTATTTTTTCCTAGTGAAGCAGAACATCGAGAACTGTTTTGGAACTGGAGTTTGAAAACAGAGAACCCCTCTACAGGGGAGCTCCAGTCCCAGCCTGTTGGAGGTCTCATTCCAAATACTTACTGCATCAGGTGATCCCTAAGAGAGTAAGGTAGTTCTGCAGCAGTCTGGACAACCTCTAAGAGGATATTTAGAAATCTTCAGTTTTTAACTACCCCTCTCCTAGTTTTCTAGGAACTCCTTGAGTAAGCTGACTGAGCATAGATGCATTCTCAGTATGGGCTGCAGTGGACACTGTGCACCTGTGAGGGCTCTGCACCTGCTGTGACTGTGAGGCCTGGTCTCCTCCACAGCTGCTGGACAGCAATTGGAAGACCACTGCTACCTGAGAAGTTCCTTCTATATCTGTGCTCCCAGACACACAGGAGTCAGGAGGGGCTCTGTTAGAAACAGAACCTTCAAATCCTAAAGCAAAATAAATAGAAATAACTAAAACACCCAATAGTAGGAAGATACAGTACGGCGGGGCAGAACTCCAGGGGCAGGTGGGAAATGGTGTGTGCTCCGTCTCTCCCTCTCACATATCTACACTTGAGTATGTATATGATATACACATATCTTTACCCCCAGATTCATGTACCTAGAAGATTATGTGCCAAGACTGAGGAATCATGCCATATATGTGCTTACATACACATAATATAGACATATAATGTTACTTTATCATAAAAGTGAGTGGGAAACTAGCCTGCAAAAAGGAAAAGAAAATTACCTCAGATCCTACCCAAGAAGAAAACTACAAAATAAATAAATTCAGATCAAATTTTAAGGAATTTTAAGTTTTAAAGAACTGGTGTTGAAAAAAAAAAAAGAATTGGAGTGAATTCTTTCATCATACTTCCTAACCATCTGGTCTGACAGGGCAAAGTTATGCAGAGTGTCAGCTTTATGCTAAAAAATATCTGATATTATCACTTCTAATAATCTGCTTAGAAGAGACTTGGAGTGGAATGACAGAAACACCTGGCTGCGGTGGACAGGTGGTACTGACTGAGGGTTCACCAAGTGCAAAGGACTGTCACTTCACAGAGAGGAAGACAGGACTCAAAGGCTTAAGGACACCCAGATAAGCAGGTGGAAAATAGAGAAGGAACTAGAACAATTATGTAGATTCTTGGAGGGAGAAGAAGTTGATGGCTGCAGTAGACTTTTTCATGAAAGATGACACTGTAGACAGCGCTGTGGGAAAATGGTATTTTAGACAATGCCAGGGGAAAATACAGTTAGCAATGTGAAGACATGAATGATTAAACTGGGCAAGTCATCCTGAAGCAAAACAAAAGGTCAGGTAAGGTTAAGGAAACAAAAAACCAAGGCTAAAATAAAACCCAAACAAATCTTCTGAGACCAGAAACTTAAAAACAAAAACTTGTGGGTCACTGTCACATCAACCACAAGCATTTTGATAAAAAATAAAAAATTGGGGGCTGGAGAGATGGTTCAGCAGTTAAAAGCACTGGCTGTTCTTGCACAGGACCCAGGTTCGATTCCCAGCACCCACATGGACAATGCACAACAACATACATGCAGGCCATACACTCATGCATATAAAAAAATTTTTTTTTTAAAGAAAACACTTCCCTGGTTTTTGAGGCATAGACATTCTGCCACAAAGAAAAGGACATGCTTGGTACTAAATACCACTCTTTTATTTTTATTTATTTTTTATTTTATTTTATTTTCGGAGCTGAGGACTGAACCCAGGGCCTTGCGCTTGCTAGGCAAGCGCTCTACCACTGAGGTAAATCCCCAACCCCTATTTTTATTTTTCAAAGTATTATTGTTGTATATGTGTGAGTGTATGACGTGTTGTGGGCACATGTGCCATGGCACAGGAGTAGAGGTCAGAAGACAGTTTTGTGGAGTTGGTTCTCACCTTCACCCTTACGTCAGGATTGAGGCATACCTGCTGAGCCATCTCATGGGTCTGAAATATCATTCTTCATACTTGAGCCTGCATTGCCTCTGGCTCTGGATTCATCTGCACCCCTTCTCGTGGCAGTTTGGGCCTTTCTTCCCTCTCTTTTCCTTCCTCTTCTCTACTCTGGAACCTCTCCTCTCATTCTCTCAGTCTCCTAATCCTCCCCTGGAGAATCCAGCTCAAGATGGCTACAGACATCTTAGCTAACCATCATCTTACTGCCTTTTGACCCTGAGAAGCATCCCAACCTCAAAAGGGCAAACAAAGTCATCAAGACAGTTGGCCAGGCTCTTCATGCTGGCCACTGGCGCCCACACTGTTTCCTAACTGATTTTTGGCATGCTATTAAGTTTTGGGGAAAGGTCAGGTACATTCCAGTTGTCCAGTCACCTTTGCCCAGCTTACATATAATATAAAGTCCATCCTCCTGCCTTGGGGTGCAAGAATCTTCTCTCCCTGCTGCTGAAGGCTTGCTCCTGTCCATGAGTCCCTAATCTTCACTGTGCAGCTCTGGATCTAGTGCCCTTGTTTGGGTTTTTGGCACCTCCCTCCTTTGGCAGCCAGTTCTCACAGGCTAGTTTTTCTGAGACTTTCTTCTCCTCTCTCTCTTGTCCTTTTCAGTCTTTCCAAGACTCACTGGCACAGACCCTTTGCTCCTCCTGCTCTGTTCAGATTGGCTGGAGAAGTGTGCAACACCTGAGGGGGCTGTGCCCTACCTTCAACCCCACATCAAACCCAGACTGTTTATTGCTGGTGAAACAGTATCTCCTTTCTCCTATAGCTCCAGGCAATTCAGCTCTGCCATCAACCCTGTACACCTGTTTATTGTTACAAAATTGCCAGTTAACTGAGTTCACCATCCTTCTAGGCTGCCCTAACACCAAGCTGAACAGCTAACGCCTGCCCCAGGCTCTACCACCACCCCAAGGATGTGGTCTCCTAATATCTCATCATCTTGAATCTATATTCTCCTGACAAAAGTTCCTGTCAAGTCAATCTCCATCATTTCCTTATATTCCCAGGGGTGTATAAGGGTGTTTTGGCTTCCTGGGGGTGTTTTGACTGGCCTTAGATTGTGTCTCAGGTGCAATCTTCTCTGATTGCCTTCCCCTGGACCATGCTTGCTTACTCACCACTGTTCCATCATCACAGCCCCCCTGATCCCCATTCTCTTCCTTCCAATAGCTCTCCTTTTCTTGGGTCCCCACTTCCTTCTGCTCCACTCCAGTCCCTGGCCACTTCCTGACCTCACTCTCCAATACTCTCCCCTACTTGGGACTTTATAAGCTAATACACTCTTTTTCCCTTCCAGATAATAGTTACCACATTGCAAATCACTGTTTCCCCTTGTTCCACACTTATAAAGTGTTTATCATGCAGCTCAGACCTTCATAAAGTAAGAACATTTGAGGACATGTTAATATTAGAATATAAAGGTGACCAGGAAGGACAGAATCCAGGCAGAAGGACGTGAGTCATGGAAGAGGATATAATTCTAGTTCTTTTCTAGTTTCAACTCTGTCACTGTTGTTCTCTTTTCTTATGGCAGATAAACATATAAAAATGTAATTGATAGTGAAAATATAAAACCCTAAGTGAAGCTCTATTGATCAGAATGTTCATTCTGACTGCACAGAAGTTCACCGAGATGTATGGGATTTGGGACTGGGCAAGTGTTTGAGTGGCTTCCTTAATCTAGCTGTGTGATGGTTTTATGAGTTCAATACAATAAAGTAATTTTATTTTAAAAAGTAAGATTAGAGTATACGTTAATATTAGAATATAAACTGTCAATATTGTTTAAATATGTATTTAAGATAATATATAGAAATTAAGTCATAAGTTGTAAGTTTTTTAAAAAGATGTTATATACCTATACCCTGAAAAAAATCAGAAGTATATTTAGAATGGTGTAAATGAGACAATTAAATCACTAAAATGCTTTGAAGAAATGAATCAATATATATATTTAAATAAGTTTTGTCTGCTTCATGTTCAGTCTGAACGCCTAACTTTTCAATGATGCCTTTACATGATCAGCTTATATTTTTGGAATTTAGCTTCCAAAATGACCTCAGAACCAATTTGGTAGACACTGAAGAAAAATCAGACTCTATTTTAGTCATCTTACAATTTATTTGTTTGCCTTTGTAATTACTGCTATTACCCCAAATAAAAACAGTTCTTGCTTAGCTAACCTGCCTCATACACTAACTTGGGTGTCAAATAGCTTTCGTTTCTAAAACAAAATTATATATTTTTTAATATTTGCTTATTTATTGTGTGTATATACACAGCCAGAGGACAATTTGTGGGGGTCAGTTGTCTCCTTCCATCATGAGGGTTCCCAGGACAGGACAAAGGTTGTCAGGCTTGCTGGCAAGCACCCTTAGCTACCCAGTCATCTCACTTGCTCCTACTTCCAAAACTTTCATTTGTCCTGGAAGGACAAAGATTTTCTGTCATTATAAAATGCACATGCCATTGTCATTGATACCAATTTCATATTCATGAAATAACTGCAGGATCATATGCATATGCAGATGGCTTTCTAAAATAGAATCCTTGAAGGTGAATGACTCATTAGATCTGTAAGTTCTGTTATTTCATTTGCAAATTAGCTACACTATTTTTGGACATGCTCCCTGAACATCCTTCTGATAGTAAAACACAGAGAAACAGAAAGTAGAATCACTGTTGAGGGCAGGAGGGAGAGGAGAACAGGGAGTTGTTTAAGGAGAATAGATCTAAATTTGTAAGATGAAAACTTTCTGGTGATGGCTACTCTATGCCCTGTTAAATTATACACTAAAGAATGGCTAAGATGATAACTTTTATATGCATTGTACCATGATTAAAATGTTTTTAAAATTAAAAAATTAAATTAGGTGAAATATATTTCCCACAAAACAATAAAGATGATAAAAATATAGATGATTATGATTGTATTGTCAAAATATAAACATAAAACCACAAAATACTAATATAACTTAACATTGTTTTACCTTGTAGAAATCTTAAAACTACACTAATAAAATAATGGTGATGGTCTTCATACTCCCAGATATAATTCTCTATTTCCTCTCCTTACCCACTTCCTCTCCCTAGAGGTAGCTTCCGTTGCTGTTCTCTGTGTATCCTCCGAGCTGTTTTGTACATATGCACCTCAGGTAGAAGCTGATATACTTTAATCTGTTTTGAACATAGAGGCAGCATGCTATACACAGAATACCATGGTCCTGCTGTCTCTTCACATCAGATTCCCAATTCATCCCATTGAGCTTGTGTTGAGTATTTTGAGTTCTTTTTCTGCAGCATGACAAGCTAGTCTCACAGACTGATGCCTATGATGCCATGGCTGGCTGCATTTGGGCCCAAGAGTAGAAGTGCCATGCCAGACTAACTAATAACCTCTGATTTGGGGAAAAAAAAATTACCTTAAAAGTAGCAAAGGCATCTGAAGCGATATCAAATGTTGACAACTCCACATACTTGAAGAAATCTCTGAACTGATTAGAAAAGAGGATGATTTTGGCAAGTGGTTCGTGTCGAATACATTCTCTCAGCATAATCCCACAGCGCAAGGCAATCTGTGGGGCTTCATATCTACAGCACAAAGAAGAAAGAGCACAGAACTGTAATCCCATTAACAAAATGACACCAATGATATCAAAAGGACCATTTCAGAACTGCTGCTAACAGAACACAGATACCACTTGACACAGTTCATTCAGACAGCATTCATTCAACCCACTGACTGCTACATGCTGGGCACCATTCCAGATACTGGGGATACAACAGTAAACAGCACAAGGACAGTGCCATCTCTGCCTTAGCATTTTAGTGAGGATGTGTCTGCTGAGAGGAGGAGGCAGAATAGAAGCAACGTCAAAATACTTTACTCAGCTGTGCCCTGAAAACTAAAGACAGTCAACTGGGCGCTATAGAGAATACTTGTGTGTGTGTGCATGCGTGTGTGTGTGTGTGTGTGTGTGTGTGTGTGCAAGCATGTATGAGAGTGTGATTATTTTTATTTTAGATTGAAGGGAAGGACGAAGTGCTCCAGGCAACTATGCAAAGGCTTCAAGGCAAGAACAAGTGTGGTGAGTTAAAGAGAGAAAATGTGTCCACAGTGGTAGGACGTAGGGAGGAGCAGTGAGCTGAGACACAGGAGGGCAGAGCAGGACCATGTCCTCCTTACATTTGAAAGCCAAGGCAAACAGTTTGGTTTCAAGTGTCGTGAGATGCCTTTGGACAATTTAAATAAAAAAATTAAGACAGCCTAGTCTATGTTTTAAAAAGATGGCCCTGGGGTAGGGTGTGTCCTGATGGCAGAGTAATTGCCTAGCATGCTGGGTTCAACTATCAGCATCACCAAAAATAGGGTTGGGTTGGGGGTGTGTGTGTAAGGAGTGCTCTGGGCAGTAGAGTGGAAGCTGGGGAGTAGGTGAGGGCAGAAGCAGATGCCCAGCAGCAGTAACAGAGGCCTGGTAGGTCGGCAGAGGCAGAATACCAAACAGGGCAGATGCTGACACTATCTGGAGGAAGAGCCAATAGGACTTGCTGTACTGGAGGTGGGGTTTGGTGACACATAAATGCAAGTTGAAGATTCAAGGATGATTCCTGTGCTTTTAGCTTAACTGAATTGGGTGGATGGTGGTATCATTTACCAAGATGAATAAACTAGTAGAGAAATGAGTTAGTGAGGAAGTCAGGAAGAAATTGTTGCTGACTATCAACGTCAGCTTAAAGACATCTAATACCTAAGCAGTGATGACCCGTCCCTTCATAGAACAGAACACTCGTCATGAGTTCAGAAAAAATAGGGAAGGGAAGATTATGTATAATTGACCCGCAAGCAACAGCTGAACAGTGGAGAAGTGCCTAGTGACTAGTCACTGACATCACACAGTGGCATTCTGGCTCAGAGCAAAACCAGACTAGATAAACGCAGCACCTACTACAGGACACATAGAGACTGGCACACCAGATCTGCTCTACTTCCAATGAACAAGTCTCTCAAATGTCAAATTCAGCATCTAAATTAACCTAGGTTATAGGCCACTGTGTGATTGAGATTTCAAGAAAATGAGTAATACTTAGCCTAAACAAGAGAAGTCTGTACTGAAATGCTGCAGCGGACCACTGTGTGGTAAGTGAAGGGCGAGCAGACACAGTCAGACACAGCTGTAGAGCAGGCAGGCAAGGATACAGTGGACCACCATGTCCAAGATGAATAAACTAGTAGAGAAATGAGTTAGTGAGGAAGTCAGGAAGAAATTGTTGCTGACTATCAACGTCAGCTTAAAGACATCTAATACCTAAGCAGTGATGACCCGTCCCTTCATAGAACAGAACACTCGTCATGAGTTCAGAAAAAATAGGGAAGGGAAGATTATGTATAATTGACCCGCAAGCAACAGCTGAACAGTGGAGAAGTGCCTAGTGACTAGTCACTGACATCACACAGTGGCATTCTGGCTCAGAGCAAAACCAGACTAGATAAACGCAGCACCTACTACAGGACACATAGAGACTGGCACACCAGATCTGCTCTACTTCCAATGAACAAGTCTCTCAAATGTCAAATTCAGCATCTAAATTAACCTAGGTTATAGGCCACTGTGTGATTGAGATTTCAAGAAAATGAGTAATACTTAGCCTAAACAAGAGAAGTCTGTACTGAAATGCTGCAGCGGACCACTGTGTGGTAAGTGAAGGGCGAGCAGACACAGTCAGACACAGCTGTAGAGCAGGCAGGCGAGGATGCAGTGGACCACCGTGTGGTAAGTGAAGGGCGAGCAGACACAGTCAGACACAGCTGTAGAGCAGGCAGGCGAGGATGCAGTGGACCACCGTGTGGTAAGTGAAGGGCGAGCAGACACAGTCAGACACAGCTGTAGAGCAGGCAGGCGAGGATGCAGTGGACCACCGTGTGGTAAGTGAAGGGTGAGCAGACACAGTCAGACACAGCTGTAGAGCAAGCAGGCAAGCAAGAGAAGAGTCAGGAAAGAAAACAGACTCTGACCAGGTTGTAAACACGGTAGCATCTTCATTTCAAATAAACATAATAGTTTTTATGGTTTTAGTACAAGGCCTATTGAAAAAAGCAACTTTTAATGTCTCAGTTCTACACAAGGTGAAAAATGACATCTACAAAGGAGTTATCTTTCAAATTTGATATGAATTATGAAAATTAGACAAATACCAACATAATTTAATTTTATGACAAAAGATCACATTTCACTAGATGAGAAAAATCTGTCTGAAAACAAAAGCCAAATAATCCTTAAATAAAACTTCCAAGAGAGTTTATGAAAACTTACCAACTACTAGTGATAACATTTTGCTGGGTAATAAATAATGATGTACGCTTCTTCATATGATCACACTCTGCATGAACTTCAGATTCAGGAATAAGATTCTCCTCCCCACAATTTAGGAAATAGGCTACTTTACAATTTCAAAATTACGAAAAGTAGCAGAGGAAAAAGCAAGCAAGGCCATGGGGTGGTACTGACTCATTTTTATTTATGTCCAACAATATTCACTATTAAATATGATTTTAATCCTCCTTGAGTAGCTCATGGTAATATTAAACGTCAATATGCTCAGAAATGGTTCTTTGTAGAATTTAAGGAATGCCAATTTATAATGTTAGCGATTTCTCAAGAGAATTTGAAAATCAGTCTACTGGAACAAACTGAAGTTAGATATAAGGTGAGACATTATTAAAGATGTAAAGAGGGACATACTTTCTGAAATGTCAAGGAGTAAAACACTGACTACACTTACTACAGATGAGAGTATTAAAGAGACTATAAAATAAAGGCTGTCGGCCTACAAAAAGAACTAGACCAGATATACACAGCATCTAGGAATAAATAAAATCCCGACTTAGTAAGATATTTGTGGCTTTCAGAATCTGTCTCGGGTGCACGTCTTAGTTTTGCCTCGAATCTCCTTCCACACTCACATGTGTGCTTGCCGCTCTTGGATGGAATGTCCCTCAGACACCTGCGCCACCAAGCCTCATCTTTCAGGGCTAGCTTCAAGTCTTTTGTCCTCACCCACCGTTCAGGATTACTCTCTCCCCTGCCCTCACATGCCCACATTGGTTGGTACTTTCACATCACTGTTCTCACTGTGCATTATGTCACGGTGCAGTGAGTCATTATAGATCTGCTCCTTCACCTCGTTCCAAGCAATTTAGTTCCGGGAGACATGCTGTATTCATTTTACTTCTTCCTCTCCCCGCTACTTTCCGTCCCATTTCATGTCTATGTCCAACTTCCTGCTACTTTCCCCATCCCCACCATGAGCTCCAGAGTGACCAGCATGCTTTTTACAGAGTAGGCATATAACGAATTCAATGAACCTCAAACTCAAACCGAATCTACTAATTTGCGAGGACTCAATGAGTCAAGCTCTGTCTTAAACAAAGGCTGAATGATCTCTAGCCAACGCTTCGCGTTTCCGAACTTGTTTTCAAGCTGAGACCATTTATAAAAAGTTTCCACTCCAAGATTTGGGTATAATTAGTTCTATTTTTCCTTTCATTTGCTGAAGTTTATTGGAACCATGTGTGATGCACTGATGATTTATTCTTGAGGACCAAGAGAACATTTTTAAAGGACCCCTCTAGGAAGAGACACATCAATTCATCCAGCAGTTTGTTCCCAACAGTGGAAATGTCATCCTCTCACATGACAACTTTTTAAAGTCAGGAATATACTGGGTATTTAGGGAAGTTTCTTATTTTCCTCAATACCTGCTTACATATATCATTTCTACCTGACTACTCTCTAAGATACTGGCTTGATAAACTATTGTTTATTCTATAAAGGAATGTCCCATAAGTTATCTTAAGCTTCACAGTCAGTATTTTTTATAATATTTTATTTATTTTATTTTATGTGTATGAGTACATTGCCTGCACATACGCAAAGTGCACCCATGTCATGGAATGCTTGCAGAGGTCAGAAGAGGGTGTTGGGTTCCCTGGACTTACAGATGGTTGTTAGCTGCAATGTGGGTGCTGGGAATCGAGCCCAGTCTTCTGCAAGAGCAGCCAGTGCTCTTAACTGCCAAGTCATCTCTCCAGTCCTCACAGTTAACATTTATCCTACCTAATCTACTCCTAGATAAGCTTTCTGGTGGCAGAGCTTGTGACTAATCACTCTGTATTTCCTGCAATGGCTAACCTAGGGCAGGTTGTCACTAAAAATTAATCACTATTTTATAGAACTGAATCTTATTTTCCTTCCTAACTCATAATTTGGATAACAAGTTGAACTCTACCTAGTCATGTCAGAGAAGGCACACTACTATATATGTATGCTCATTCAAACAAAGGGATCAGCAGATCCCTTTAAACTTTATGAAAGCAAAAATGTAAGGCCAAATGTCTCTAGAGAAATCAACCTCAACTGACCAGGAAATTTTCTGCTGCCTTGCTTACATGGGACCAGGAGGTGCTCTATGAAGGCTGCTGGGGGAGAAAAGACATCAACAGTCTCACCCACCAAATGACCTGTATGTTACAAATACTGATCTGCCTGGCAAGATGTGGCCACTGGTGCACAGTGGCAGGCTGGTATGCAGGTAACCAACTGCTTACTGATTGGATATGAGGCCTGCTCCACAGGGGAGATTTCATGCCTGTAGTATAAACTTGGTCAAAAGCCCATGACTTAGGAGATCATAGGCCCTAGGAGGACACCTACTGTTGTTAGGTTAAAATGCTTATGATGCCAAACTGCCTTCTAAACATTTACATTTATAACCATAGATTTGTGTTCCCCTCAACCTCAGTCAGAGAAGTTACTTTTTGCAACAGGTGACAGTTAATACAGAGACTCCTTATCAGGTTGTGCTGCTTAGTTTTTTGTCAATTTGACACAAACTTGAAGCGCCTGGAAAGAAGGAACCTCAATTGAGGAATCTTCTCCAATAGACTGGTCTGTAGTTATGTCTGTGAGGCATTTTCTTGATTGCTAATTGGTGTAGGAGGGCCCAGCCCACTGTGGGCAGTGCCATCCCTAGGCAGGTGGGCCTGAGTTGTATAATAAAGGTAACTAAGCAAATCAGTGGAAGCCAGCCAGTCAGTAGCATTCTTCCATGTTCTCTGCTTCAGTTCCTGCCTCCAGATTCCTACCTTGAGTTCCTGTCTTGGCTTCTCTCCATGATGGATTGTAAACTATAAGATGAAATAAATCCTTTCCTCCCCAAGTTGCTCTTAGTGTTTTATCACAGCAACAGAAAGGTAACTAAGACACAAATCAAGGTGCCAAGAGTAAGTAACCTCAAGTGTTCAGCTGTGGATGAAGCATCTATATTAACCTCTCCCATGCAAGGCTCATGGAAGGGCAGAGAAAAAGAATGTAAGAGCTGATGGATGAGAGGGAGAACATGAAATGGAGACTTCTGGACCTGATATGGCTCCTGTTTATACCAACCAACTCACAGCACCTGTGGTTACCTGCACAATAAAAATTCCAACATGACTGGGGAAGGGGTCCCTGAGGAGTTATCCACAGTGGATAGTTACTGAGGGAGGGAAAGTCACTCTTTTAAGGTAGGTTGCCCATGCCCCAGAGGATGGCCCCACACTCATGTGTATATGGGCAGCATTAATTGGATTCAGGGGGCTATTAATACAAAAAAAGGGACGTGAAGCTGGGAAAGTAATGGGGTGGGGAGCACTAAGGGAGGGTGGGAAGGAGGTAATGGTGGATGGATATGAACAAAACTCATTGTATAAATGCATGAAATTTTCAAACAATAAATGAAAACTATGATAAAAAAAAAAAAAAGAAAAGAAATGGAGGGGGGGCTGGAGAGCACTTGCTGTTCTTCCAGAGGACCTGGGTTCAATTTCTAGTACCCACATGTCAGCTAATAACCATTCCTAACGCCAGTTCCAGGGGACCTGACACTGTCTTCTGGCCTCTGCAGGGCATTGCATGTACATGGAGCCCTTACATACATGCAGGCAAAACACTCATACACATAAAATAAAAATAATAAATTATAAAAAGGGGGCCCTGGAGAGATGCACTGGTTGTTTTTGCAGAGGATCTGGGTTCCATTTCTAGCACTGATGTGGTGGCTAACCATCTGTACCTCCAGTTATGGGAGATCAGACGCTCTCTTCTGGCCTTGGCAGGCACTGCATGCAATGGGTGCACTCACATGCAGGTAAAACACTCATACACAAAGCAAATAAATTTTCTAAAAAAGAAAAGAAAAAAAAGAGCAAATGCCTCGACTGGCAATGAGCACAGTAATCATTACACAGAAAATTGCAGAAGAAAGATCTTGTGCAAGAACCTCTCAAGGACAAAGATTATATTATGTAATGGGAAAAATGACTTGTTATTGTTGGGAGCAAACAATGCCATGTGACAGCACTAGGAAAACTTCATAAAATGCCACGTACCAAACACTTGGCTTACTCAAGAGTGAAGAAATTCTGCTTATAATCTGGAAGCATTTGCATCCTTTAATCCCAGCACCCACATGGCAGCTAACAACTCTCCATAACTCCAGTTCCAGGGGATCTGACGCCCTCTTCTGACCTCTGAGGGCATTGCATGACATGGGTGCACTTACAAACATGTAGGCAATACACACATACACATAAAATAAAAATAATAAATAAAATATTTTAAAAAATAATGGATTAACTGTCCACTGTAAAGAAGCAATAAGAATTCAACATCAGTGCATACACCTTGGAGTCCAGACTGCAGTCTCCAAGAACCATTCCTCACCAAAAGAACCAGGGTCCTTCGTAGAAAATCCAGGTCTATGTCAGGAAATGTGCAAGTTGGGTCTGGCATACCTTCTTGCACAACATAGCAAAGAAGCTCTTACAAAATATTTTGGTGAAGTCAAAAGACAACACCCAGAAAATGCCATAGTTAACTGAATGCTACAAAGAAAAAGGTGTACAGTTTTTAAATGCAATATATAGATAACATTACATCAGCTAGTTAATAAGACACCAGAGGGTAAGCCTGTGTGAGAGGGAGACAGAGACAGAGACTGTAATGTAAGTGAACACATTGTCTGTAATGCTGGCACAGGACAAGCACTCAGTGGTATCTACAAAACAGATGTGAAGGAAGGAGCTAAAGTTTGGTTTAAACAACAACAAAAAATAACCATTATAAAAGGAAAGAAAAAAGAGGGGACACCTCCAAATAGATACTAATGGTTTTATTGGGAGAGATTATGAAATTACCCCTTTTTATATTAAACATTTCTAGAATGTTTAATGTTTCTAAATAAACAGATATTACCTTTGAAACAGAAAGAAGTTGAATTGTTTTAAAAATAACCATGCTGTTCATTCCCATATTGTCACTAAAATGTGGTTGGAATGATTTCTTTCTTGGTCTCCAAGCTGAGTCACAGCCCACTAACCCTCCAAGCCATTTTCCACATCGCCACTGGAACTCAAGTATACTCCCCATGTGGATGCAGAACAGCATTCAAGTTCCTCGGTGGGGCATGGAAGGCTCATCCTAATCTGCTCTCAGCCTTTCCAGCTTTACTGTCATCCTCCCCAGTGCCTCCAAGCCTCCATTCATACTACAAGTTTTGACAATCTCTGAGCACATAGATTCTCTCACATGCTTTTAACCTTTTGGTGAGCTGAAAACACAACAAAAAAAGTGATCTTAGAAAGTATGTGCTGAAGATGGAGCTGACCTGGAGGATCTGCCCTGCACTATTAGGTCCGAAGTAACATTCACCTGTGTTGGAGCCATTCTGCTTGGGGTCCATTTGCTATAGTTTAGGGTTCTCTAACAGTCAATATATCTTTCTTTCCAGAACTGAGAAAAGATTCTTCAGTAAAATTACTTTGTGCTTGGGAGGCAGAGGCAAGTGGATCTCTTTGAGTTCAAGGCCAGCCTGGTCTACATAGTGAGTTCCAGGCCAGCTGGGGCTACAGGGAGACCCTATCTCAAAAAGACCAAAAAAAAAAAAAAATTACTTTGTGACGGTCCCAAAGTAATTACAGTACACTTCTTTGCTCAACAACATGTTCAAAATAGCCTCAGTGTGATTATTAATAAAACTAAAAATTGTGATAAAGTATATTGGGAGGAAAAGGGGAAGGAACTAAAATACTGATATCAGTAGAAAAATGCAAAAGATGTTTAAATTTGATAAATCAAAAAATTAAGATAAGCCTGTTATTTACAATGCAGAGGTAAATGTGTGATTTAAAAAAAAAATCAACAAATAAAGATGAGAGTGACTGTCTTTCGCCAGTGGGACTAGGGGAGATGAGGGGACGAGGCCAAGAAAATAACTCGTGTTTGTTGGATATGCCTGATTTTTAAACCATTTATATAACTTAAAATTTTATTTATTTATTTTTATTGCTATGTGTATGAATGTTTTGACTGCATGTATTTAAGTGCACATGTGTGTGAAATGCTTGGGGATGCTGTCAGATCCCCTGAACTGGAGTTTACAGATGGTTAGCTGCCATGTGGGTGCTGAGAACTGAACCAGGGTCTTCTGCAAGAGCAGCCAGGGCTCTTATCCACTGAGCCATCTCTCCAGGCCCCAATTTTAACATAATTGAATGTTTAGAAATGTACAAGGAAGAAATGGAACACAGGTGAGACAGATTAGGTCTGAATCCATAGCATTGAAAATAGGAGTACTATGCAGTAACAGAGCCATGCTGGCTTGAGATGGTGAGACAGAAAGGAAGCACAGGGAGGAGGGACATGTCTGGTGTTTGCAGGCCTTTGCACCCAGATCTCCGGTCTTTAGGATTCAGAGTAGTCTCAAGATAGTCAAGACACATGTGTAAGGGAGCAGGCATAAGTAATAATCAGGGGTTCTATTTTCTCACTTGAATTCGATCTTTTGGCTCCTTTATAGCCACATACACACATAGTGGCATCCATCCTATCGTCACAGAGAAGCATGTCACTTCAGAAGACATTAGCTATGGAGGGAATGCTTACCCCATGTAGAGTGTGTGTGTGTGTGTGTGTGTGTGTGTGTGTGTGTGTGTGTGTAAAATGAGGGGACGTAGTACCAAGCAAGCAGGAAAATGGTAACTGGTTAGGAACAGCACATGCAAGGAAGCAAAAGAAACCTATTAGAAAGAGACAGAGACAGCAGAAAGGTAGAGTAAGGAGAGGAGGAAATGAACAGCATTTAGGAGACAACAGTGCAAAGAAAGGGTTTGCCGTAGCCTGTCATCTCAGACACACATTTGAAGGGCTGCTCTCAAGCATGGCAAACACCTGCCCTGCTGCTCAAAACAAGACCCACATGGCCAGTGAGGCTAACACCGTGCATGTTCAACAACTATTTAAAACTCAAACCTATTTTGAAGGAAGCCAGGTACCTACCCTTTGAGGAGCATGAACAGGATGTGAGGGTGAGCACTGATGTACTCCACAGTAGGACTCCGTGCGCCTATCTGTCTTCTTAGGATGTTGTTAAATATCTGGGTCACATCTTTTTTCCCCTGTTACAGAAACATGTCATCATGAAAAGATACACTTTAAAGACACACATAAATGGATAAATTGTTTGGCATGTGAGACACACACACATAGACATACTTTCTCTCATGCAGAGATAGAACCGTGCCTTATAAAATGCAGAAACATTAATTTGCTATTTTCATTTAACAGTTGTGTTTTCAAATACAAAGTGCACAAAATAGATGCAGCTCCTTCCTATGGTGGGAAGTTTGACTAGGGGGAAATCCATTTACACAGCTATAGACACAATGGTGTGGGTGGGTATAAATTTTTTCCTGCTTTAGCTCTATTCAAAAAGGAAAAGTTTAAAAAATCCTTTAAAAAGTATTTTATTTATTTTTATTTTGTGTGTATGAGTTTATTGCCTGCGTGTATATACGTGTACCTATGTTATGCAATGTCTGCAGAGGTCAGGAGAGGGCACCAGATTCCCCTGAAATGAATTACAGTTGTTAGCTGCCATATGGGTGCTGGGAATCAAACCTAGGTCCTCTGCAAGTGCAGCCAGTGCTCTTAACTGCAAAGGAATCTCTCCAGCCCCCTCAAGAAGGAAATTTTGACTGACATTTTTAAACCTTCATAAATCGTAGAAAATAGATGAAGAAAATAAAGTTAAAATTTTTAGTAAAATGCAAGTTGGAGTCAAATTCCTTTTTTCTTACATCTACTTTTAAGTAATATTATTCCTTTATCTACTCTTCTACCTTGTGGTCTTTTAAAACTGAAACGTAAAGTTTAAAATATAAATTTCCCTTATGTAGATATATTTTCCCTAAGTAAGTATAAGAAATCACACAGAGTCGAAAGGACTGCCTGAGCCAGAGGAGCTATTACCCACCTTGGACAGGGCTTCTCAGAATCTTCAAGGACAGGACCTCCACTCTCACATATGAGTCTAGCCTGCTTCTCCAAAAGACACTCTGAACTGGATCCACACTTATTATATGGAAACAATGGGCAAGAATACGACTGATTCTCAGTCACTGTGGAGCTGGTTCTGCCCTTTGCCTCTCAATTGCACTGTAAAAGGGCTTCTGTCAGTTATTCTTCACTCAGAGCATCTTCACTCTGCAGTCAGCAAGTGAGAAGTGACTCCACCCGCTCCCTAGGCTCCTCTATCTCCCTTGGGTTTAGAAAAACATCCAGTGCCTTCCATGACCTGGCCTTTTGCCTCCCTCCAGCCTCAGCAGATTCTTAGGGCATTCCGTTCTGGCATCAGGTTCTGTCAATCCCAAATGGCTGTACTACACAGATTCACACAGCCTTTCCTATTCCTGCAGCTTGGTTCATAGTTTCCCTTCCTCCTAATTCTGTTCCTTCAAGCAAAGTGTGTTCTTTAGGATTCAATTCAGGACATTCTCCTCTACAATGAGTGCCTTTACCCTGTCTGTAGCATAACAACATTCTTTCCCTTACACTGACTGGCTCCTCTTCAACCTGACTACCTCTACCTTCTGTCCGAGCGTGTGCTAAATCTGTGGCAGGAACCTATGCTAACAGCTTTACATGACCATTCAATCTCCACAGCAATCTTATGATGGATATATTATAAATAAGGAGACAGGACTAGTGAGGCTGCTTTGTCCACATAGGATGTGGAAGATCGAGGATTCCTTCCTCAGTTGATGGGATCCAAGGCCTCAGTCAGTCCTTAGCCATCATCTTAAAATTGATTCCCAGCACATAACTGTGCAATGAAAGGAATGGATTTTGTCTCTAACTTCCACCTTGTACTTAAGGATGTCCTTAAGCTCTTAAGGATGCAGGGCCTATTTCAATGCATATATTATAGGGCAGAACATAGTATGCACTCAATAAACCTATTAGAGCTTTGGCCTTCCCTGTGCTGTTATCATAAACATGGGACATGATCCCTCTCATTTTTAAGTTTGGTACTTTTTATTTTTTTGAGACAGGCTCTCACTATGTAGCCCTGGATGACCTGGAATTTCCTATGTAGACCAGGCTGGCCTTGATCTCACAGAAATTTGCCTATCTCTGCCTCTTGAGTTCTGGGGTTAAAGGCATGTGCTACCATGCCCAGCAAATTTGGTTCTTTTTAATACTAAAGAGACAGTTAAAAAACCCAAAAAACTAAGACCCAAAATGAGATCAATAAAATTGTTCAATTAGTGACTCAATCTTAAAGATTCCACCCTGCCCCCCAGGGTCTCTTGTATTCCAGGTTGGCCTCAGCTTGCTGAGAATGACCTTAAACTTGTGATCCTTCTGCTTCCACCTCCCAAGTGCTAGGATGACAGGTGTGTGCCACCACACCCAGTGATACAGTCCTAGAGACTAAACCTAGTGTTTTGGGCATGCTGGGCAAACATTCTATCATCTGAGCTAAATACTAAGCTCCTTTAAAGCTGTCAGTTTTGCCAGCCATGGTGGTGCACACCTTTAATCCCAGCACTCCGGAGGCAGAGGCAGGCAGATCTCCATGAGTTCAAGGCCAGCCTGGTCTATATAGTAAATTCCAGGACAGCTGGGGCTACAGGGAGACCCTATCTCAAAAAAATCCAAACCAAACCAACCAAACAAACAAAAAACTGTCAGTTTCAGCTGAACAGGCTCCAGTAGACGAACTCACACCAAGGGACATCTGGGGACATAAACTTGACTCAGCAGGCCTTAACATATATGACAGAGTGCATGAAATTTGGTTGGGGGTTAAGGGCGGGGGTGAATGGGGGAGGGGGTCTATATATGATTAGATGTATGAAATGCACAAAAATTCAATAAAAATCTATATTGATAAAACCTGTCAGATTTATAAAACACAAACTAAGTGTTGATTAAGAAAAGTAACACAGACAAAAGCATTCTGGAAGAAATTAATTAATTCAGAGAGAGAAATGAATCTAAGTGGTAGAGCACTTACCTAGCACTCAGATCCTAAATTCTGGTCCTCAGCAGTACAGGCATGCACACACATATATGTGCACATGTTTGCATGCAGGGGCACACACACACACACACACACACACACACACACACAAATTCAGAATAGATTTTAGAGTTTCAACATAAAACTAGAAACCTTTAAAAAAAAAAAAAAGATGAACATCTTTGGAATCTGACTGGGCAAAAGGTTCTTAGCTTTAACACTAACAGCATACATGAAAAAGTAATGAACTGATTTCATCAAAATTTAGAACTTCTCTTCTTGCCTGGAGTTTGAGGCCAGCCTGGTCGCAGTAGCAACTTCTAGCAAGTTAGTGCTACACTGTGAGACCCTGTCTCAAAACAAACAAACGAACAAACACACAAAACAACAACCTCCTTCTATCTTAAAAAGATTCAGTTAATAAGATGAAAAGACAAGTAGGAGAAAAGACTGAAGGCCAGTGCCAAAAGACCAAAACCTAGAACCCTTAAAATGCAATAGTGTAAGAAACAAACAATTCAACTAGAAATGGGTGAAGACATGAAAAGACACTGCACCAAAGAGGCCATGCTGATAAAAGCAGGCATACTGGGGTTGGAGAGATGGCTGAGTGGTTAAGAGCACTGGCTACTCTTGCAGAGGACCCAGGTTTGATTTCTAGAACCCACATGGAGGCTAACAACCATCCTTAACTCTAGTTCCAGGGGATAGGACACCCTCTTCTGGCTTTTGTGGGAACTGCATGCACATGGTGCATTTACTTACATACAGGCAGACACTCATACACATAAAATGAAAATAAAATCTAAAAAATAAAAAATAAAGGAAAAATCAAATCAGAGAAAGGAAGAAAAAGGAAGAAAGAAGGAAAGGAAGGAGGGAAGTGAAGAAAGATTTATTTATTTAGGGGAGAGAGGTCATGGAGAAATAAAGAACAGGTATTAGGAAAGCAAATTACTTCTTGCTTTAAAGTCAGTCACCATACCCAAATCCAAATTTTAATAAAAAAAATCAGGAAGTGAATTTTGTGATTCTTGAAATATAAGTCAGGGTGGAATGCTTGCCTGGCATGTGAAAGGCCCTACATTCATTTCCAGTATGGGAAGGGGACACTTCAGAATCAGGTGCTCATATACTTTTAAAATCCTAAAAAGTCTTCAGTTCGTAGTACATGAGTTTCATCTATGAGGATATTAAAAACTATATTTGCTGTATAAAAGAGATATATCTGTGAATATAAATGATGATTTAAAAGAAAGTAATTCTGTCATGTTTAAATCTCCCAAGACTCTATAGTGTAATACTGCAGAATAAACACCAACCCTCTTTGAAATGTCATAAGAGGATGTTTTTCATATCTCCCAGTAAAATGCCACAAGAACATTTCCATACGGCATACCAGTGAACAGCAGTAATAAAACTCCACAGAATTCCATCCAACTTTCACACAGAGGAAAACATTCTTCTAGTTCATTGGCAAATGTGTGCAGAGGAAAAGGAAGCCTCCTGTGGATAACAAAAACAAGTTCTGCTACCAGAAACCACTTCTCAAACCAGACCAGAGGGTCAGAAAAGAGATTAGAGAGAAATGGAAACTGGTACAAGAGGGCAAATGACAATCACTGCATTACATGTAATCCTTGTTGACATCCATTTTGAAAACTGTGCGTAATTAGAGTGAAGCTTTAATAATTTCAAAACCAGTCTTCTGCAATTCATTCTGTAGGACCTCAGTCCTGGACCTAGAAATGGCCAGAGTAAAAGAAAACAAGAAACCATCAAAACACTTTTGATTATAAAGAAGCAATACCCAGGGCTAGAGAGATGGCTCAGTGGTTAAGAGCACTGGCTGCTCTTGCAGGGGACCCAGGTTCAGTTCCCAGCACCCACATGGTGACTAACCACCATCCTATAACTCCAGTTCTGGGGATCTGACTCCCTCCGCTGACCTCTGTGGGCACTACTGCACAACATGGGTGTACTTACTTACATGCAGGCAAAACATACACATTTTAAAAAAATTGCTGGGCATGGTAGCACATGCCTTTAATCCCAGCACTCGGGAGGCAGAGGCAGGCGGATCCTTGTGAG